CTTGAGCGTGTTGGGCGTTTGCCTTTTCTGCTTCAGGCAATTCCTCACATCGGAGATCCGAGAGGGCGGCGATTTCTGCTATCGTCGATGCTGTGACAACGGGCTTATTCGCTGGGGATCCAAACACAGTTGAGCGTGTTTGGCAAGCGCTAAACCACGAGAGGGACGCTGCCCTTCGCCACAATGGCAACAACAACTTCAGTTTGGCCCGCTTGGGGCGGAGGCGACCCAGAACCATGTGGATCTCTGACGGACGCCAAATCAGAATGCACAATTTTGAGCCAAATCTTAGCCCATTTCAGGGGGCCATCAAAGGTAGTGAGAATGAATGTTTTTTCACGAAGATTAGCAGTCAAGGGTTTTGGAACCCAATCTTTTCGATTCTGACCTTTATTAGTACTTTCGATATGATTTAGATAACGAAATTGATCTTTTAAATAGAGGACAATTAATCTTAGACGGAGGAAGTATTAAGTAAGCTGCCAATCACAGTGCCAACCAAAAGCAACGAATAACAGCGAATGGGACGTCACAGTGCACTGTGCTGTGCTGTTCCCTGTGCCAATTGTATGGAGTTGTATGCACGGTGTAGCATATGTATGGCGTATACATTAATACCACATTTTAAAACGAGTGTGGAGCTGGGAATTGAGAATCTGACGTGCATGGTGCTTGACTGAAGGAAGAATGTTATGAAATTGTTCAGGTAAAGTGGACTTGATAACATTGGGATGACAGCACACAGAATGAGAGGTAGCAATGTGTAAGAAGACTTTTTCAGTTGCGACTGGACATGGTGTTGAAGTGACTACAACACAGTACAAACCCGCCCCACCCCACCCCAACTACCCCGGCGCTATTTTGCATAACCCCCCGTACTCCACAACACCGGCCATGTTGGTAACACAGGGGGAATTATCTAAAATCCCCCGCACTATTCAAAACTCCCTGCTCTATCTTTTGTGATCTACTGTATTCGATTGCACTCCGAGAGGTATGAGCTGTTTTGTGACCTAACGTAGGCAATGTTGAATATATGTACCGATGGCACTGAAACTATATGCATCGCAGTGGAGGAGGCTACTCCAGGCAGTGGGGCAACTGTTGCAGACTGTAGAGGAGAGCAAAGAGTGATGGTGGCTTGGGCAGCAATCTCAATGATTGACATGATGATGACATGAGTGTCAAGGTTTTGCATGATCATGGATGGCCGGTATTTTCTCGCATTGTGCGTGTTCTGTGCTGTGAGAAGCTTCTGGATGCGCCATTACACATGTCTTTCTGTTAGGCATATCAATGAGCGAATACAGGGCACGCGGTCTGACTTAATTTTGCTCCATACGGAATGTCACTTTATTTCAGCCACTACTTTCAACCAGAAGACTCTACGGTAGTAGAAAGAAAGCACAGCGATGAGTTCATGCACTAACCAAATCTATAGAAATGTGCTGTGAAACAATCATCCCTAAAACTGCAGGCTTTAGAGTTGGTGCATTTATGCAGCACCGCCATCATGCAGCCATGCCCACGCTAATAGATTTATGGAACTGAAGCAGAAAAGCACTGGATCCAGTGCTTCCGGAAGCAAGCATCACACAAACTAGCCATCCTCACCGCAACTCTTGGTGTGGGGTCAGGTTGCTGTAATCTCCTTGTTGCCACAATCCCTGCAGACATTAACCTCAGCTGAGGGTATCATGGCCAGTGTCAGCGAGTACGACAACGCCAATGTGCTTGGGCCGTGGTGCTGTACTTCCCAAACGACATATGTCCTGCACATGCATGTGAATTAAGTGCACACTATCTTTTCACCGGAAATCAAGACAGCGGCTCCGTTCAGGCACCCAGAACATTGGCTAGAAGAAATCATTTCTTGATGTGCTTGAATGTTGTTTGCCAAACTATGACCTTGGGACTGTTAGTGAACGCTGCTTGGAAGCTTCCGTTCACTATCTTGGCAAAGGTTCTGTTCTCCGTTGTTTGTTGGTCAATATTTTCCTTGGAATTCATGTCGGGACAGGTTGCAAGGCTTGTCCTGCGACAAGGTCCCGTGCGCAGATCAGTGCACGGCTTCCAGACCAATTGGCACTTGCCCCAAGATTCTGGGCGAGCTTTCCCTGGGGAAACCTTGCGGAGTATCGAAACCACGCGCACCACATGACGCCTCCCCTTGTCGCACTGGTCGGCCCCCCTGCCCACGGGGCGTTGGCCTCGCAGGTCTGCAAAGCGGTACTTCAGAAACCGGTGGTGAAGACGCCCCTGCAAGCTTGTGCGCAGACCCTCCCATGCCAGTTTCTACTGCAGGCTTGAGTTGGGCGCCAATTTGGGCCGAACTTGCTGTTGAAGGTTATGCACGGGTCGTGGGCAGGACGCATTCTAGCATTGCGCCTCCCTGGCTTCTGATAAACAGCAATCCGGGCCCACGCCAACCCCATCCATGCACTAGGATAAAAAGAACCAGGTAGCCCTTTTTTGCTTGTAGCACAGATACATGCATATCATCAGCGTTCAATATGCCGAAAACACGAAAATAACCCAAACCCGTAAACTGTATACACGACTGAACACCTGTTATTTGGCCCTTTTTCCTGGTGATGCTTCCCCACCAAAGGTCGGGCCAGCATGCAAACGCAAACACTCAGAACTCGTAATCGGATCCTTGCTGCAGGGCGCTTGTTTCGTGTGCTGGTCGCTGTGAAGCCACCTCGCCACCGCCTGCAAGTTAGACAGGCCCGCGGACGAACGAAGAACAAGGTAGAGGAGAGCCCTCAAACGAGTGCGTGGCAGTGGACAGTCACCACAAGTTTCGGGACACGAGCCCACGTGTTGAGGCATCTCAATGCGCCGGCGGTCATCCGGACTGCGGGGTGAAAGTCTTGGCAGCCGCTGAAGGCCGCTGGCAGGGCTGAATCACATCGGGTTCGAAGGCTAAATCTTCAAGACTTCATGTGCCAGCGAGCGTTCTGACGTTACGAGAATCGGTGGGGGGCGACAGGAGGACACCAAGAGCATCCATTGCATGTACGCAAAGGGAATCGTACATTGTGGAAGGGATCGCTGCAGAGGCGGAGGTACTGCAGCATGTCGCAACAGCAAGCACAGGTGCAAAGGGTGGCGATTGGCGGCGTTTTGCGGTCGGTTGTCCAAATGCCCAAACTTCGAAGAGGGCAGGCCCATTATTTCGCTGAGTCATGAGGCGCTTCTTTCAACACGATGCAATCATATTTGGAAGCGCATCATTGATCATATACTTCGATTTTCGAAACACGCATAGACATTTGCATATTTCACAATTTGAATGGTGGTTCGTGGTACAATGATCCACATTCAGCACTCTGATGAACATTATGGTTTTCAACGGACGTGAAATATTCCGACAACTTCCGAGGATAATCAAATACTCAGGGGATATGTGCCAGCCACTGCGCGAAGTGGTTAAATTGCACAAATGATTCCGTGTAGTCCCTGCTGCACGCTACAAATGTAGATTCTGCAACACGGGAAATTGAACGTGCCGCTGGTGTGCCCTGCTCCGATGTCATTCCAAAAACACCGCCTCTAAATGGCGGCCCCTTCCAAATGCGCCCTCCTTGACTCTGGAATGATGGTGCCGCGGAGATTCCCTCCCAGCGCCCCAGTTCCGGGCTGCTGACCGCCCCCGCTGACCGTCAACGCAAGGATAAACTTGACGCCCCGCCTTACACGAACAGCAGGACGCCCGCGACCCGCCGTGACTCAGCTCCCAAGCTCCGACCCCAAGTACTGCCTCCCGCTCCTCCGCCGGACCAAATCTGGCCCTACCCGTCCCCCGGAAGCTGTCCACGGGAGAGGAGGTCAGGGTCTGAAGCCAACCACGGCAGCAGTTGCCACCGCGGGCAGCAGCGACAGGATTGCGTACAACCGGACCGGCGCGGCGAGATCGGCACCAGGCTCCAACCCGAGGAGAAGGATCTGACGCCGGGAGCCGCGGGCGCCGACGAGCCGCGGTGGGTGCCTCGCGATCGGCCGGCTGACCCACGGCACCGCCGGGCGGGGTTGAACAATGTTGACCGGATGTTTCTTTCGTTGCTTGTCGGGTTGGATCGGGCGGTAAGGCGCGGAATAGGCCTACTGGGGGCCGACGCCACGGGTGGCTGGGCTGGATGCACCGTGAGTCCATTCTGTGGGGAAGGGGGGCCTTACGGGGTGACGGTCACTAGTTGGCGGCAGAGCGCGGGGCTCGGTTGGCGGGCCGATGAGCGCTGGCATGGGCTGCGCCCTGGTCGGTGGTGGATGGGCGCCTTGGGGCTACCGACCCTATTTTCCTTTGGCGGATGGGGGGAATCGCGCCTTGACTCTCACGAAAGGCGGGGGCGACTCTGAGCGGTGAAGTTTGCGGGATGCCGCGGGTCTGGGCGCCAGTGGCGTCGTTTCAGTGCGGCCATCTCCTCCACCCCCGCTGCCCTTCCGATACACCGATAGCCGCGGAGACCGCTGGCACCGCGGGGCCCGGACGCCATCGGCAGGAAGCCACAATTTTTTAGGTTGGCGTGACGTAAGGATGCCCTCGGCCGCTCTGCCCGCGGTGCCCTTTTGGTTTGAAGCCGAACATTTGCTGCTGAGCCGACACACCTTTGTCTGGCATAAAATTACACCCCCTTCTTGTTTGCTGAGATTCGGTTCTTGTTTTCGGACACCCTAAACCCCAACTACTGATCCACGCACCGGGACTGGCCTTGTCAGCGGAACAAGAACCGAATCTCAGCGAACAAGCAGAAGGACTAATATATTCTCCCTTTGTCTAGTGGAGCCATGCACCGCCCTGAGTCGGCGCCCGTGGCGGTCGCGGTCAGACCCGATGCCCCGGACCCTCTCGCGATTAGTACAGCCTTAACTTTTGCTCATTTCAGGCCATGCAGGGCCCAATCACCACCCAACTTCAGCAGTGACATCTTTCAGCAGCATTTTTGGGTGTGAGCTTTGCTGATTGGCTGGATGCTTCCACAGGGTGCCCCGGCAGAATGTGCACCGCCATCCCAAGGAGCGGTTGGCTCCTGGCAGTGGCGCTGCTGGCGCTTGCAGCCGGGAGCCAGGCGCAGCCAGGGGTCCAGCAACTGAACAGCCTGGCGCTGGACCTGTTTGACGAGATCTACAGCCAGGACGAGTCCAAGAACATCTTTTTCTCGCCGCTGAGCATAGCCACTGCCTACTCCCTCCTCCACATAGGAGCCGAGGGTGACACGAAGGAACAGCTGGAGTCGGTGTTTGGTTTTGGGGCGGAGGGCGTCTCAGGCGCCTTTCTGAATCCGTATTCTGGCTTGATAACGGAAGACGAATCAGATGATGTGGACGTGCTGCAGTCCAGCATACTTTACATTGAGGAAGGTTTTGCCTACAAACCTGCATTCAAAATTCGTCTGACCAAGAATCCCACATCGAGAGCTGCGGAAAAGGTGCCCTTCGCGACGGACCCAGAGGCTGCTCGAAAGGAGATCAACAAAAATGTCAGTACGCTCACGATGGGGTACATTGAGGACATGCTGCCTGAGGGGTCTGTGGATGAGTTGACTCGCATGGTGGTGGTCAACGCAGTGTTCTTCAAAGGGGGATGGATGGAACCTTTTAAGAAGGAAGACACTGTGAAACTTCCGTTTGCGGCATTTGACAAGAAGAATGCCACAGTGGACATGATGATACAGAAGGAAACATGGCTGAGGCTCTCGCTGACAGGATCGATCCTTGACGCCCAGGTAGGCAACATGGCACGATGTATGTTTCATCTGATGATGCTGGTGTTGTGTTTCAGTGTTGCATGTGCTTCAACAGTGCTGCAGTATCACACGTCTTCACACAGCGCTAGTTTGAGCACTGTTATGGGCAGACTCTCAAGTTTGCTAGGCTAGCACGCACTTTTGGGTAGGTTCTTCTGCAGCCTTGCAGCTTCTGCAAATCTGTGCAATTGTTGCATGGTGCCATGCAAGTGGATATTCTCTTCTTCCCACAGAATGCCTGAGATCTCTCACAGCAAATCTGTTTCCCTGCCACAATTCACTGCAGGGAAGTGGTTATGAAAGGGCACAAAAGCAGAAACTGATCACCACTGAAGTGGGAATCCTAAACTCACAGTCGGCATGGCCACAGTGCTACTGGCATCAGTGTGTTTTTGGGCCCAGCGATTCGGTATGCAGCAATTCCGTGTCAACCATAGTGCACGGGGCTGTCTTTGCTTCTGTTTCCACAAGCCATTCTACCTTCCCTGTCTTATGGCACTGCTGGAAATACAGTTGCCAACTCAATAGGTGTGTGTGCCACCCAACTGGCTCCTTGAGCACCTGTGTGTTATAATCACATTGCTGCAACGGATGCATCCATTCATCTCTGCGTGGGACCTGTAGTGGTCAGTCAAAAGCTTCACCAGCACAAAGCTAGTAATGCAAGAAGCAGCTGGAGCTGTTCTGTTTTGTAGGGGTAGGGAAAGTGCTAGGTGTGTCATCAACATCTGCCAAGCACAACTAGCAGCATGTTTGCCCAATACATTACGCAATGTTGAGGGCAATGGGCAGTACCAAGGACTCCACATCCATTTTCTGCTTGGCATGCACCAACCAAATTTCCGCTTTAGGTGCCTTTTTTGAACTTCATGTGAAGGCTTTCAGATTCACGTGACTTTCTTTTGACATCCTGTTTATGAACCCTGAGGGGGAACCCTGTCACCTATCACCAGCACTGCTTGCTACATCAGCAGTGAGAGGAATGGAGTAGAAGTAGTAGCAGAAGAGCAGAAGTAGAAACAGCAGCAGTTTAGATGTGTAAATGGTAGTTTTATGCTTGATGACGGTGTTTGGTGGCTGCAAGAATCGAACATGCCCTCACACTACATCGTCCTCTTGGATACATCGACGGACCCCAAATGTGACATATGACTGGACTCTGTGTTGCTGCACACGATGACGATGTTTGGTGGCTGCAAGAATCGAACATGCCCTCACACTACATCGTCCTCTTGGATACATCGACGGACCCCAAATGTGACATATGACTGGACTCTGTGTTGCTGCACATGGAATAAGTGGAATGGCAAAAGAGTTTAGTCATTGACAGCTGTCTGCACGTTGCTATCCTGCTGTGTGCAGCCCATTTGTCTGCCGTGTCCTCTTCAACCCTTAAATAGAGTGGGAAAAAGTCAAAACTCTACTGTTCAGAAGGCGACGTCCCACACACTATGTGTCAGTGGTGGCTGTCATGCAGGATCGGTCCAGCACAGGCCCTGTGTGACTGAAGTGCAGCAAGGAAAGGCGAAACACATTTGCCTCACCAGGTTTCCTTTGCTATTTGCTGTGCTGGACACAAAACTTCATTCTAACTCATTCTGCGTGTGCCGCATCCCATTACTGCTTTCCCCTATTGGATCATGGATCGCCTGCTTCAAAGGTTTATGTTGATCACATTGTTTTAAATGGATGGTTCTCACAGCGCTGTGGTGGGTGCACAGGTGCTGGAGCTGCCATATGGCAATGGGGCGGCGAGCATGGTTATCATCCTGCCCAGCAAGCCTGGCAGAAACGCGTTCCTGGAAGTGGCCGCGCAGCTGAGGGAAGTCGATTTCACTGACCTCGTGAACAGCCTCCAGTCCACGATGGTGAATGTATACCTGCCCAAATTCGAGATCGAGGCTTCGACTGACCTGGGGGCTGTGCTGCCACCGCTGGGCGTGACAGACCTGTTCCAACCAGACTCTTCAGACCTGTCCGGCATGTCCGATGCTGTGGGCCTGTACGTATCCTCCTCTCTGCACAAGGCCCGGGTCAAGGTAGATGAGAAGGGCACCACGGCTGCCGCTTCGACCGCTGCTGTTGCCAGGGCCACCAGCCTGGTGCTCCCCACAGATTTCAGGGCAGATCACCCCTTCATGTACTTCATAATCGACGCCCAGAGCAAGGCCATCATGTTCATGGGCAGCGTCCAGGGATTGCCGATGGGCCCTGTCTCTTGAGGAGGGCACCTGCCACAGCCTGCCCGAATGGCATAACTGGGGACCTGCGGACTAATGCTCAATGCAGCCACTGGCCATTGCATGTTTGCCTGGCTTCCCATGGTGCGCGGTGATTTGGGGCTGTGAGATTCGAGGAGGGTGCGCGATCACTGGGTAGCAGTTGCGATTATGGCATTGTGGAATTGTTGCTGTGCAGCAGCTGAGGTCGCTGGCTGGGCTGGAGGCTGGGGAGCTCATTGTGTCATGGCAGTGTCTCATCGTGTCTACCACCCGTTGTGTTGTATGCGTCAGTTGGGTTTGTGCAACTCTATCTGACAGCTGAGCTGCTGAGAAATATTTGGTTCTTTGCTCTTCAGCTTTGGTGCAAGTTGCAGCATGGGCCATCTGCTTGTTCAGCATAATCGGAATAAGACGACTTGGGGCTTGGTTGCGGCCTGAATATTTCCACCTGCGGTTGCCGGTGAATGTGATCCCTGGTTGGATTCTGTGAAGGACAAATTCGTTGCTTCAAGTGATGGGCGTGATTGGCCGCAGCTGGATGTGCATAGAATGCCATCTACCCACCCCACATCATGTCAACAGATTTGTGTGAAATTCAGAGATGTTGAAGCTGGGGCTGAGGAACGAAACCACCAAAGCAGTTTGGTGTATTTAAACAGTGCTGATCGCTGTTGGTGTATTTAAACAGTGCTGATCATGTTCTGGTTCCAGATATTCTCTCGTCGCGCTGCCTCTCCCTCCCGATTTCTGCCCCTGGACCATTGGCTTTTGCGCACTGAGGGATTTGGTTCTACACCGAGTCGAGGCTTGTTCGTCCGCAGCTGGATACACTATATCAACATAGCACACATGATATCGCAATCAATCAGTCACATCTGTAGATGGAAATAGGCTTGGCGGCATTCGTGAGTTCAACCACCACAGACTGGATGCTAAGTGAGCGTTGCGTCCCGGCAACATGAGGCAAATTGCCCCAGCGCGATTCTGGCAGTACCGCTGCAGCTTGTCCGTGGCCGGCTCGAACCCACGAGCTACCTACCATGCCTGTCCCATACCCCCAATCAAAAACGCTGGCATCGCCATATGGTCCATGGCATCGCGCAATGGCAACAGATCCTCGCAGCAGCCACGAGCGACACTGGTAGAAAACGGCATGTTTGCGATGCCATCTGCGATGCCAGTTTGACACAAAATGATGCCATCACAGTGACTGCGATGGCAAAAAAGTGGCTATGATGGCATCAATTTGTGTCAAAATGGCATCGCAAGCGTGCTTTTTTCTGCTAGTGCGAGCGGCGCCCACGTGTCCCCGGCGACTGGCCCCTTTTGTGCCCATTGCGACACTCCAATGCTAATGCTGGCGGCCGGCAGAAAAGATTCATGGCGATTTAGCGCCACGCGCACAGTCCGTCTGGCGGCGCGGGCTTCCGTGTCGTACGTGTCGGGCCCGGAATGACGGGAGCCGTTGTGGCGCATTAGTAAGCCGATCGTGATGTGGGATGACATGGAGGCGTTAGCGGAGATTCAGGGGGCTGCAGGGCAGGGGAAGGGCTGGCCCAGCCCCTTGCGGCCCTGCCTGGCCCCGCTCCTTCTTCTTCACCGCGCGGTCAGCGCAAGAAGGGTGAGCACAGGACTGAGGGGCCTTGCGCAGACCCTGGCGGGGCAGGACCCTGCGCTCCGAGCCGAGCGTGTCGCATGGCCGGTGTGTGCTGCCCCGCTTGCTCCGACAGCGCTGCTGGTTGCCAACAGTTTCACTAACGAGTCCTTCCGCCCTCCTGCACGTTGAGCGCTTTGCCTTTTCGAGCGTTCCATGGGGCTGCCACCCCACGAGTCCCACCGACGTTGTGTAGCCGACGTCGGCAGCTACTCGCAACCACACGCTTTGCGGTTGTGGGACATTTTGTCCCTGATGGGTTTGGCTCGCGCCCATTTTCTGTTCCGCAAGGCGCCGCGCGTTGAGAGAGGAGTTTGCGCTCCGGACGGTGCTTTTCTGGCAGGTTTTTCGGCGCCGCGCTTCAGGCATGGATGCTGGTTGTGCATGGCGTGGAGCAATGCCCCGACGGGCATACATATATAGGCTGGAGCACATGGAATGGTTGCGGGCCCACGTTTTCCCGGCCGGGGCGGCGCGGCGGCGTTCTGGTTGAAATGATGGGCCAGGGAAGCGTGCAAGAGTGCGAGCAAGAAATCTGGAGGATGCTGCCTGACCCCGAAACGGTTGGCATGCTAGATCAGGAACTGCCAGAGCGGCGCGGGAGACACCGCGACGACGATGCACCACGCATTTGGTACGATGAACGGCTGGCCGGGCGCGCAGGAAAGTGGTGCTGGGGGAGCCTTCGCCGTCCTCTCCGTCGCTTTCGGCCCCGTCGCTGTCTTGGAACACACGCGATGGCGCCATGGCGGGTTCCTCGGAGGGACACAACCCCCCGCTTGTGTACGCCCGTACCCGGCTTCGCCGCGTTTTCCGCCCAGTCAAGCCATCCCCCGGTACCCACGGTCCCCCTCGAATGCGCTCATTTCGGGCCGCGCATCCCGCACCGAGCCCCACAGAGCGCGGCTTTGCAGAGCAAAGACCCAGAAAAGGAACGAACAGCCCTGGCAGAGGGGGCTGACGCTGCTGTGCTGCGCGCAGCGAGGACCCCTGTGTGTACATCCGGACGTCCACCCCCGCCCGTCTTCGACATCGCCGTGGTGGCAATCACCACATAACCGAGCAGCTGGTGCAGTATGGCCCAGTGCGGGAAACGGGCAGGTGACAAGACGCGATGCGGACACATTTTCACTTATTTAGTGTTTCGGATTTTTATTAGTCGTAGTTAATGCAAGACAGCCACGACACCAACTACCTTGAGCCATTTCCATGCTGGCAACTTTGCAAAGCGCTTTCAGAGTTCCCTGCGGTGGCATGGTGGTTGTATTGCACATGTCTTCAGCCCAATGAATGTTGCCGCCTGCAATACCTGCTCTGCGAGGTCTCTTCGGAATTTATTTCTACTCATATGGTATACATTAATTAGGATAGATTTCGCGTTTTGTTACAGATGCCGTTGTGCTTGACGCGGGAGTTGGGGGGGGGGGGCACGTGCTACTGAGCCTTTACACTGAGCACAGCTTAGCTTCATGAGATGGTAATATTCCAACAGCATATATGCTACCGTTAGTCCGAAGCGTCTGTGCTATAATACTGTTTCGCTCACTTTTGTGCAATGCGATTGGTGGATAAAGTGCGCGAAATGCTATGCTCCATTGAGAAATACGGTTAGGTGGTATTTTTATGTCGTAATCAACACTACCTTTCAATTGATACAACTCATTTTCTTGGATGATGCTCACAGGTTCTATGCATCACATCCCCAAAACAGTCCCACTGAACTTCGCGTCATGTCTGGCTACATGAGATGTACTTTGCAGCGTCAAGCACAGGACAGGCATGGATCATGCCCCGTACAGGCACATTGCTTCAAGGGAGCCAGCGAGGTTTTGAAGCGCAAGAGCGTATCAGTTTACTTGGATTTGCAATTTGCCATGTTCGAGAGCAGAATCAGAGAGAGTTGAAATGAAAATTTTGTCTGATTCTGATGCCGAAAATATCTGTTAACGATCTGTACATTGACATAGCTGTTTGAAGGTTCGAAGATATCGCTTCGAGGAATGGTCGCCTCCTCCAGGAATGTAAGTATTTGAAGATTCAAGCAAAATTTTCAGTTGAAAGTTCAAGTTTATGTTAAAATTTCAACGGCATCACAGATTGGCACATTTGGGGGCATTTTCCAACAAATATTTACACAAGAACTGCGGGAAATCTTCTCTTCCTCGATAATGAAATGTTTGCTCGTTTGCGCAAAGGAATCTCAGAAGTGTACTCGCCCTAGAGACGTTTCTTTTTGAGTTTGCGTGTTAGTCTCACCCAGTGAGAATGCCTTGAGGGAATCGTGTGGCTGGCTGCACTACAAGTTGAGTAGTTTCATATTTTGTTATTGCTGGATTTTGGCAATATTTTGATGGATTTATAAAATAAAAAGATGAATCAGTTATGTGTAGTTAGCCTGACTGCTCTTCCATATATTTTGAGGCCCAGTGATATGGACACAGTCTGGCAACGGCGCCCCCAGTTTTCTTTTTCTGTGAACTTATGCAAGCAAGGCGATGCGCTGCTATTGCGCTTGTTACTACTTCATGTACCTGTATGGCATTAGAGCGTCTTTTCCAGATAACTGTTAACGAATTTTCAGCTCCTACTGGAGTAGGAATTTCGAATTGGTTGAATTTTGAGAGCTACATGTGAATTGATATGTCAAGACAAAATTTGCACTGTCGGCACGAGGGTTCCGGGACATTCGTTTCTAGTGTACAATTTGATGTATGGCATATACCCTAATGGATTCACGTAGAATTTAACCGGTATTGCCGATGATTGAGTTCAGCTTTCATGTATCCGAGATGAAACACAACAAATACTTTGTAACGTGAGGGCATACTTTATAGTGCTATTGCGAATGGTCAAAGACACAGGAAAACTATTGAAACTCATTGTGGCTTCGTTGTTCCAGCCGCTTCAAACTCGTCTTGGCATGCAGCTGGCCTTCTAGCACTCATTACAATGTTAATACATATGTGTAGGTCGGATTTATGGTAATAAATAATGCATGGGCGTTGGAGTATGCAAATAAAAAGGGCTCAAAAACTGTAGATCAAGCCCACATGCTGCGGGCATCAATGTTCCATGTCAACAGCTATCCAATCGGATTGAATATACCATGCGTGAGCCTTATGGCCAAAGGTCCGTTTACATGACGCCCGGACCATGCATGATGTGAATCTCTCTGGTGACTTCGTGAATACCCGGCCTGTAATTTACGTTTACGTCTCCATTTCTGCGTTTATGTTTATACGCCTAGAAACGCGTAAACAGAGAAACTCCCATTTTGCGGCCCTATTTACGCATATTTGCGGCTCCCCATCACACCCAAATTGCATGGCCATGTCCTAATCAACGG